CTCTCTCTCAAATAAATAAATAAAATCTTTAAAAAAAATAAATAAATAAAATAAAATAAAATTTTAAATATGATAGTCTAAATCACTAAGTATTGATCACAAACCAATACTATTTGCTATTAAACTGTATATTTCCTAACTAGAAATATCCACAATGTTTCCTAACAACCTTGACTTCACTCATGTTTTCAACTGCTATATTTTACTGGACATAAAGAGAATTTTTCTAGGTCTTAGAAATCTTGTAATGAAACATATTTATAATACTTTGATGCCATAAAACGCTTCAATTCAAAAAACAATAGCAATTTCTTTAAAAGCTGATGGCACAAAAAACCTGCCAATGAAAAGCTATTATCTCATTTAAAAAATCTGTATTTTAACTTTGAATATTTTCTTCATATTTCAGTGTGCTCTCATCTTTCTATTACCTATGTCTGGCTAAAAGCTAAGACATCAATAAAGACCAATTGAAAATTTTTTTGCTATATGTCTTTATTGAATTGTTTCAGAAATGAAGACAGTATTTGTAATAAAAAACAGAGTGAACAAGAGACAACAGCAACCATAATAATCTTACTTCTTCAAGCTAATGACTTTCAGAATAATATATAAGCAATTTTTACATTTTTAATTTAAGCTTACAATCATTTTTTTATTCTACCACACTAGCAAATACTTGTGAAAATAAATAAAAATAAAGTAAATGATGCATAGATCTAGGAAAATTTCTTATAAACTGAACTATTGCACAACAAATCAATGTGAAAATAATATATGTAAGTAATACAAAAATGCATTTAAATACATTGTCACAACATGTTTCATAATTCATAAGTATACTTCACCTACTTACTGTTTATAATAATCTCTGGGTTCTAGAATTGGATGATTTTTATACCAACTCATTTTCCATGTAGTACATTACAACATTTACTGGCTACCACAAAATTCTGTGAGGAACAAACATGTGCCACTGTGTTTAAGTTCATTTACCTACCCCTTCCTTGGGCAAAAATTACATGGTCTTAAAAAAAAAAACTTGGAAAAAGAAAAATAATGCTCAGTTCCAGAGAAAACAAAGTTTAAAGTTCTTCATATGATTTATAACGGGACAGAGTAACATGTATTATTGAAATGAAAATCTAATATGTACATTATTCTCCTAAATTAATTACAGCTTATTCTAGCTAATGGATTCCTTTTTTAGACCAATATGACTGAATAAAGACAACCAGATTTTAAAAAGTTAATGAAAAGTCAGGAAAGAAACTATAAGGTAAATAAAACGACAATTCCCATTACCTCAAAGTTTATATCCCCTACCTGAATGAAAAAACAAAACAAAACAAAACCACAAAAAAACTAATGATACAATTATAAAGTATAAGCATAAATAAATTTCAGAGAAAATTAAAAGCCACAAATTTCTACATTAACCCTTACAGTTGATCACAATCATAAACGAGAAGCTAAAAATGGCCTACAAAAGATTTGCTTACACCTTTATAATAAGATCAAAGCTCTTTTCTTTCCATTCAACAGAAATTACTAAGGAGTTACTGAACCTGGCTTGCACAGGCCATCAAAGATTCTACTACTAAATACTGTCACACTGAAAGTGACAATGATTAAAAGCTATATTTTAGCCAAAGTTAAAGTATAACTTTTTGTGAATGTTTAATTACATAAGTCAGCTGTGCATTAAAGCAGTGCATTTTCAGTAGTTTTTTTTTACTGTGATGTGAATGGTGTTTCAGTATTAAACACTAAAAAGAAAATATAAGAGGAAACATTAGATAGTCTCTTAACCAACTCATCACTACATCTAACTATACTTCAAGGGAAATTAAAATTAAAAAATTAAAATACTTTTTACCTGCATTCCCTGCAGTAATGATTAATTATCCAAATTATTTATTAGGGTGAGGTGGTTTATTTTAAAATCCATTAAAATAATTTTTTCTAAATTCAGACACAGAAATAAACATGTAGAATTTTGCAAGGAATTTTGTGCCTCTTCTATTAAATAATTATTTTCAAACTTCGCAAAAATAAGGAAGTAGTAAATTAAAACTCCTCAGACATGAGGGTATGAAAAAGAAAAAAGTGAAATATGGAGACACAATTAGAAATAGATAGAATATACATTCAACTAAACACACAGAGGTAAAAAAAAAAAAAACCTTCAGTTATAACTGGAATAAAATACATTTGTATTTTTCAGTCTTGTGTCTCTGAAAAGGAAATTGCATAATTACATTTTAAGGAATGAATAAAGATCTCTAAATTATATAATTAATGATATACCGAGTAAAGGACATCATAGATCTGTAGGGGTTTAATTCCTTTCTTTTTTTAATATTTATAAAATTAATTGTTAAAGAGCTCTACAGGAAAATGACCTTACATAACTAACTGTAACTGAAAATACTCTCTTCATTTCCAAAATTCCAAGCATCCCATCCTATACTATGTGAAAATAGGCACCGATAATAAAAATGTTTGTTCTGATTTTTTGCTCAAAGTAATGATCATCCTAAAGCTTGAAGGACTGAGCACTAGCATTTGATTTTGTGAAGGTATGCTTAATGTGCAATAACAACAGTAACAGTTAATGATTCCACTTGAAATTATTTTCTGACAGATGAGTATTTCCATAAATGGCACAGTTTGGGGTATCAGGTATTTATTATATACAGTATATGTACACATTTATATATACACACACATTACACAGCCAAAGAATTATGCTCCAAAAATTGCTGAAAAAAGTATTTCGAATAATTTTAGCATAAAATCACTAAAGGAAATGTCTAGCTGTCCAAGGTGCAACAGTCATAAGATTCTGGACTTAGCTTTTTCTTTTGGGGTCTATTCACAGAACCATTCTTCGAATGCCACATTCACAACAAAACTTTGCCCATTCTACAGGGTATTTAGTCCCACACTCATGGCAGAATTTTGGTAAGTGTCCTGTTGAATTTCCTTCCATGCCTTTAACATTTCCGCCATTAAGTGAAGATATATAGTCTCCATCTGGCCTGAAGGAGTACAGGAAGAAAAGTAGAAACACAAAGTTCTTGTCAGTAGTTTTCATAACCCTTAGAAAACAGTACTTAATACTAAGTATAAGCAAAAGCCTGCTTAACCTCAGTTTTAATATTTTTCTAGTTCAGATTTTAAAAATCCCTTTTAGTTAATAATGAAATTCTAAATATTTTCTTTGGCACTATATTTGTCCCTGTTTATGAGAATTTTTTTACCACCACACTTTCCATTTGTTCAATGTACTAGGCATATACTACAATGGGGATAGAATGGAAATTTATAGTGTCCCTTCTGCAAAACCATCTCTAAAGAGAAAACTAGAACCTCGCCCTGAGGAAAGATGGATGTCTTTCCTCCAAATATATACTGTAATAAATATGTACATATTATTATACATATTATAAAACAACATATACATAACTTCTCCCAATGTGTCATGCTATTTTCAATGTATCCATGGAGTCTTTTCACTCGAATTCTCATCACTATCATCAGGCTAAATCTTGTTAGGTCCTTTGCTCTAATTTAGTTATATACACTCAAATTCTTTCATCCTTCATCCCCTGTACTGTAACCCTCATGGCTCTGGACACTCTCCGTGCCACCCTAAATTGTGTCACCCTTTGCTTTCTTGTTTTCCATCTGACGTGCGGTGTATGTCATTTCTGTTACATCTTGTCTTCTCCATAAGACTGTGAGCTCCCCCAAGTGCACTGATTTTTATCTGTTTTGTTACTGCTCTATGTCTAGGATCAAGAGAAGTACCTGACATAAACTCATCTCTCAGTAAATATTTTTTAATGAGTCAATGAATGAATGAGTAATACATGAAGAAGATAAACAAAGCAAAATATTTAGTCCTTTTAAAATTGATCAACAGATCAACTTTTTAAGATTGATCAACAGAAAAGGAATAAACAATATTCAGAATGAAAGAAGGATATAACTACAGATATAGCAGAGATTTAAAATTATAAGCACAAGGGGCGCCTGGGTGGCTCAGTCGTTAAGTGTCTGCCTTCGGCTCAGGTCATGTTCCCAGGGTCCCGGGATCGAAACCTGCATCAAGCCCCACATCGGGCTCCCTGCTCTGCTGGAAGCCTGCTTCTCCCTCTCCCACTCCCTCTGCTTGTGTTTCCTCTCTCACTGTGTCTCTGTCAAATAAATAAAATTAAAAAAAAAAATTACAAGAACAATTCTATGCTAATAATTTGAAACTTAGATGAAATGAAACATTTCCTAGAAAAATATCTTATGAAAACTGATTTCAAACAAACTGTAACACTAAACAGACATAATCATTAAAGCGATTGAATCAGTAATTAACATACTATCCTTATCACATGGGCACGTGCAGACACACACACACACACTGGACTCATGATAATTTTACATCATAAGTTCTAGGGGTGCCTGAGTGGCTCAGTCGGTTAAGTGTCTGCCTCTGGCTCAGGTCATGATCCCAGGGTCCTGGGATTGAGCCCGGGATCAGGCTCCCTGCTCAGTGGGGAGTCTGCTTGTCCCTCTTCTTCAGCCCCTCACCCTACTTGGGTTTTCTCTCTCTCCATCAAATAAGTAAATAAAATATTTTAAAGAAAAAAACATGGTAAGTTCTACTAAACTTTTCCAGCAGAGGGAGGTGAAAAACAACATTCTGCAATTTCTTTTCAAAGGTCGGTAAAACCTTGATATTCAGACTAATAAGAGAACATAAAATTATAATCAATTTTACCTATTAACTTGGAAATACATATAAATCTCCAAGAATTTTAGCAAACACAATCTACAGACATATGCAATTCAAAACACTTTAGATTTATTCCAGAAAATAAGATTGACTTAACATTAGAAAATCTACTAATATAATTTAAAACACAAATAGATTAAAGGATTTAAAATACTGGTTTTATATATATGATATCCAGTAAGATTCACCACCTATTTTTCATTTAAAAAAAAAACACTTAGAAAATTAGGAATAGAAAGGAATGGCATTGACAAAATGTATTTAACAGAATCCTTTATCAGTCTTCATATATAATGGTGACATTTAAGAAGCATTTTCTTTAAAAGCAGAAATGTCACAAGAATGTCAGCTATAATCATTTCTATTTTAATCTATAATATAACGTAAGGAGAATTCTTTCTCTGTTTCTGTGGACACATCTGACATTGGGATAACTGCCTAGCTTTCTTTAATGAGAACCTTTAAAAAGGTGGAATACCAGCTGTGTTTCCAGGCAGCAGTGCTTGTACGCAATCCACGGGAATTAGACATCCCTCAGGACAACCTGAAAGCTACGTCTACGGGGCTGTTACAAAAGAAACTGGTTCCCTTTGGGGACATAGAATTTCCAATTAAACTATCCTACACCCACCTATTAAGATCTTGTTCTCTGGGGCGCCTGGGTGGCTCAGTCGTTAAGCGTCTGCCTTCGGCTCAGGTCATGATCCCAGGGTCCTGGGATCGAGCCCCGCATTGGGCTCTCTGCTTGGCCGGGAGCCTGCTTCTCCCTTTCCCACTCCCCCTGCTTGTGTTCCCTCTCTAGCTGTCTCTGTCTCTCTCTCTGTGTCAAATAAATAAAATAAAATATTTAAAAATAAATAAATAAAATAAAATAAAATAAAAAGATCTTGTTCTCTCACATCCACGCTGTCACTTGGACGGCCAAAGAAAATCATCTCAAGGACTGGGGCAAGGGCTCCCAGGAAAGAGAAACACCCGACACTGCCTGCTTTCATTCCCTATTTCCTGTAAATAATCCCACTGTCATATTTTAGCATGCGATTACCTCTAGCCGAGCCCAAGACAACCTCTTGATGGACATTTCAAGAGTACTGGCGTAGAGGAAGAGGCATGAGGAGAGGGGAAGGAAAAGTTGAGTTTCTAAAGCTCCACTCTGCCCAAGTCCAAGAAATCACCTCCTCTCTCCCACAATGACATTAAAATCCAAGACTTTAAGTAGGGAAGATCAGTCAAAACCTCAAATGTAAGTTCAGTGTCAGGGTTAATTTACCAATCTGACCCCTCGTTTCCTTTATTTACTTACCTGTGGAAGTTTCTCTAACTTTTCTGAGAGCTAAGCTACACATTCAAAAGGATATCTGTTCCATTTTGTGTAGCATTTTTAGGTGTTCTGGGTTGGAAGGGCCATCCAGAAAATGTAGTCTATCACACTTCCAGAAAAAGAAATCTGTGAGATTTCTTCATCTGTTATGGTTATAATTATTCCATCTGGGTAGGGTAGTAAGTCAAGTGAACAAGGTTTACTATCACCTATCAACCATTTAAAAAGAAAGAAAGAAAAGAAACAAACTAAAAAAGAATTCAAACTCATTTTTAATGTGATTTTTGCCCCTGCACTTCTTTTGTTGTCACTTCTTTGTCTACCTCTTTAGAAAGATAAGATGATCTTTTTATTCAAGCACATGTATTTATTAAGTTTTCCATTTTGTAAGAGAATGTTAATCCTACATTCAGCATGTATCCAAAACACATGGCTCCACACATATACAACATAGTACAGCTAACTTCAGGACTCCAAGAAACATTACTTCTTTAATATTTAAAATGTATCAAAACCTTAGGTGAAACAAACAGTATTCATGAAAGAATCTACCTGCAAAGGTAGCAATTCACCTATTCCTTTATGGTTCTCATCCCTTGTTATGCATAAGCATCACTCTTAAAATTTTAAGAATGCAAACCAAAGAAATCAAAACCTCTCTGGGAGGCACGTGGACATGTTCATTTTTAGAAAGTCCCACAGAAGAAAGAGGAACCCTCTTACACTGTTGGTGGGAATGCAAGTTGGTACAGCCACTTTGGAAAACAGTGTGGAGGTTCCTCAAAAATTTAAAAATAGAGCTACCCTATGACCCAGCAATTGCACTCCTGGGTATTTACCCCAAAGACACAGATGTAGTGAAAAGAAGGGCCATATACACCCCAATGTTCATAGCAGCAATGTCCACAATAGCCAAACTGTGGAAAGAGCCAAGATGCCCTTCAACAGATGAAGGGATAAAGAAGATGTGGTCCATATATACAATGGAATATTACTCGGTCATCAGAAAGGATGAATACCCAACTTTTACATCAACATGGATGGCACTAGAGGAGATCATGCTAAGTGAAATAAGTCAAGCAGAGAAAGTCAATTATCATATGGTTTCGCTTATTTGTGGAACAGAAGGAATAGCATGGAGGACATTAGGAGAAGGAAGGGAAAAATGAAGTGGGGGAATCGGTGACGGAGATGAACCATGAGAGACTATGGACTCCGAGAAACAAACTGAGGGTTTTAGAGGGGAGGGGGGTGGGGGGATGGGTTAGCCCGGTGATGGGTATTAAAGAGGGCACGTATTGCATGGAGCACTGGGTGTTATATGCAAACAATGAATCATGGAACACTACATCAAAAACTAACGATGTACTGTATGTTGACATAACATAATAAAATTAAATTAAATTAAAAAAAAAAAAGAAAAGAAAACCAAAACGGGTGGTATCACAATTCAGGACATCAAGCTATATTACAAAGCTATAATCATCAAGACAGTATGGTACTGGCACAAAAACAGACACATAGGTCAATGGAACAGAATACAGAACCCAGAAATGGACCTTCAACTCTATGGTCAACTAATCTTCAAAAAGCAGGAAAGAATATCCAATTGAACAAAGACAGTCTCTTCAACAAATGGTGTTGGCAAAATTGGATAGCCACATGCAGAAGAATGAATCTGGACCATTTCCTTACACCATACACAAAAGTAGACTTAAAATGGATGAAAGACCAAAATGGATGAAAGACCTAAATGTGAGACAGGAATCCATTAAAATCCTAGAGGACAACACAGGCAGCAACCTCTTCGATCTCAACCATAGCAACTTCTTACTAGACATATCTCCGAAGGCAAGGGAAACAAAGGCAAAAATGAACTATTGGGACTTCATCAAGATAAAAAGATTTTGCACAGCAAAGGAAACAGTCAACAAAACCAAAAGACATCCAAATGACATATCAGATAAAGGGCTAGTATCCAAAATCTATAAAGAACTTACCAAACTCAACACCCAAAGAACAAATAACCCAATCAAGAAATGGGCAGAAGACATGATCAGACATTTTCTCCAAAGAAGACATACAGATGGCTAACAGACACATGAAAAAAGTGCTCCACATCACTCAGCATCAGGGAAATACAAATCAAAACCACAATGATATATTATCTCACACTGGTCAGGATGGCTAAAATTAACAAGTTAGGAAATGACAGATGTTGGAGAGGATGAGGAAAAGGGGAACCCTCTCACACTGTTGGTGGGAATGCAAGCCAGCACAACCATTCTGGAAAACAGTATGGAGGTTCCTCAAAAGCTGAAAATAGAGCTACCCTATGACCCAGCAATTGAATTACTTGGTATTTACCCCAAAGATACAAATGTAGGGATCCGAAGAGGTACATGCACCCCAATGTTTATAGCAGCAATGTCTACAATAGCCAAACTATGGAAAGAGCCTAGATGTCCATCAACAGGGGAATGGATAAAGAAGATGTGGTGTACACACACACACACATGCACACACACACACAATTGAAATATTACTCAGCCATCAAAAAAATGAAATCTTGCTATTTGCAATGATGTGGATGGAACTAGAGGGTATTATGCTAAGTGAAATAAGTCAGTCAGAGAAAGACAATTACATGATCTCACTCCTATGTGGAATTTAAGAAACAAAACAGAGAATTATAGAAGAAGAGAGGGAAAAATAAAACAAGATGAAATCAGAGAGGGAGACAAACAATAAGAGACTCTTAATCCTAGGAAACAAACTGAGGGTTGCTGGAGGGGAGGTGGGTAGGGGGATGGAGTAACTGGGTGATGGACATTAAGGAGGGCACAGGATGTAATGAGCACTGGGTGTTATATGAAACTGATGAATCACTGAACTCTACCTCTGAAACTAATAATATACTATATGTTAATTAATTGAAAGTAAATAAAATAAAATTTAAAAAATAGTAATAAATTTTCCAGTGTCTCTTTATGAGAATTCATAGGCAGATTTTTGAGGTCTCAGGACTAGGTGTGCTTTCACAGAGAAATGATTTTTTTTTTTTAATACAACACGAATCATGTAACTAACTACTCCTATCTTCCCCTGTACTCTGGCCGCTACAAAATTTGGACCCAATTTATGGCCAAAGGCTAGCCTATATACAGCGTATTATGACACATATTTTGTGGACTACACATATTTTGTGGGCTAAATTCATTCCTTTTTTTCCTTTATCTTTTAATTCTCATTTTTTCTTTTCATATTCTTTCATTTTTATAAAATATCGTATCTCACTGCATGTTGTGAATCTCTGTATATTGCCTTATACTTTCTGGAATAAGGATATATATAATATCTATACTAGAATGATTTGTTTTATGCTTAAAAACAGAGTGAATGTCAAAGTTGCACAAATACTGTGACAGATAAGAAAGGGAAGTACATGGATAATCACAAGCTCAGCAGGGAATTTAAATATATTTAAATGTTGCTGAAAATTACAATACCAGTTTAAAGGGTCTATTACTCAATTTGCAGAGGTAAAAATAATCATGTTGCACTTAAAATTAAGATATAAAACACAAATGAATGCAGTGAAACTGAAAAACTGTCCTCAAGCATTTACAACAATAATAACTACAAGGTCTAGAAAAATATTATTTATGCCCAAACTATTTAGTGTACAGCTTAAAGCCAAAATAAATCATATAGCAAAGGAGAAATCAGATTTTCTATTAATAGCCTGATAAATATTTTTGCATTTGGTCCTTAGAAGACTATATACATTATTTTTATTTTAGTTATTAGAATCTCAGAGCTAAACATACCTGGCTATGTAGCTCTCAGTATATGTTTTTCTTTTGTTTGTAAGAACACCTGAGGAAGGATTTCGTGCCAAACTAGGTGGTGTGGAATTTCGAGGTTTGATGTTAGTTCTAGAAGAGAGAAAGAGATGGCATAATGAAAAGGTATTGAATAGCAAGCATTTATTTCTTATATTGCTTATTTACATGATTAAAATAATAATTTGAAGCTGTAGAAAGGTGAATTCAAAAGAGTAAAATCCAAGTAATTATTTTAAATCTGAAAACAACAGTAGTTTAAACTAAGGATAAACCAAAGCATTTTGCATTTACTAACAATAACTTGATGGTAAATTAAATCAACAACAAAAAAATATATGCTTTACATGAAATTTTAAGTTAATAATTCTGAAAAGCTTCAGGTTTTTAAAAGTTTAAATCTATAATTCCCTCAAAATAGGTGTCTTGTTAAATGCCTATGAATAACTGTTAAATGTTATACATTATGAGATATGGTTAAAAACAAACAAAAAACATTAGCTAACCACTTCAATAATTTTCAATTTATGAAAGCCTGTTTTTGGAAATAGCAACTAAAATAAATGGGTTAATATAATCTCCCCTTTTAAGACTTAATCTCACCAATTATACAGCCTAGGCTATCTGCTATCAGTAGAGTTGTTCTGGTTGGATCATCACTTAATTCCCTTTATGAAACTTCAGGAATCAAAGAAAGCTTAGAGGGCTGAATGATGGTACAATGGTAAAAGCATAGGATTTGGGATTCAGATGAATCTAGATTCAAATCCCAACTGCTACTGACTAATGTGGAGATACTGGACAAACTGTATCAAGTGTCCCCCATTTCTAAAATATGACTATCATCACTTACCTTAGAGGAAGTTATGGATACCAATTGCAATTTATATAAACATTCAGAATAGTTGATGATGATGGTATTATTACTATTATGGCTATTGTTACTGTTCCTAGTTAACATTTACAAAATGGTGCTTATTACTACATTTGGTATAGATTTCTAATTGCTTTCATATATAAACTTACTTAATCCTCATAATAATCCAATGGATTAAGCAGTATTAATAACTCCATTTTAGAATGAGGCAACTGAGGCAAAGAGTTGTTAAGTAACTTAACCAAGGTGACATCCAGTATGTTGCTGAACTAAGGGTCATATGGTGAATAAAGAGCTGGTTCCCTCCCAGTCTTTAGAGATTTAGTCAAATCTTTTCATTTCAGAGATATGCAATACTGTGTTATATGAATAAGCAGAATACTTTTTAAAATTCCTTTAGATTGTAAGTTCTTAAACTATGGCTGAAATTCTTCCTCCTTATAAAGCAAAGTTGGAGAGTCTGAAAATTCTAAATAGCTACCTCCAAAATATATGCAGGTAATAACTACATTTACTATTTTTCAAATGTCAAATATGATGCCAGGTACTACGCATACTTCACTTGGTTTAATCTTCACAGGAATCTAAGAAGATATTATTCCCACTTTGAAGTTGAAGAAGAAAATCATATTAGAGAAATTAAGTAAGCTGAAAATCTATTACAAGGCCACAGTATTTGAAATTAGGTGGGTCATATTACAAATCTTATTATATTCAATATGCAATGCTGTCTGTTGTTCAGAGAGAGGCTGCTTTGAATACTTTAAATTTTTTCTAAACTTTGACAACAATCACCTTGGTGCATGAATGGGTTACCCTGGCCCTCTTCAAATGGCCACTGACAGTCTAAGCATGAGGTATACTCTACTCAACTCTTAAACAGCCCCCCTAGGGATGTTGTTGAATTGCTACGTACTTTTTTAGGAATTCAATCTCTAAAAAATCATTGCCAAACAATGGCGGTTCCTCCAGTAAGAGTCATTGTTAAGAGGAATAGGAAGGACACATTTTTTAATTTTTTGGCTCTAGAACAAAGCCTTGTTAGAAATCCTATCACTTTCATTTAATATGTAATGAGATACACAGATAATACAAATACACCTATGGATATACACACATAACCTCACCATATCAATGAAGTTATTCAAATAATTAGAATATAAAAATTAGAGAAAAATAAGATTATCAACAGTAATGATCATTACTAAATACCTATCATGTACTTTTAGTAACAATTTTAAGAGGTGGAATCTGAATGTCAAGAACCATTCTTAAGAGATTGGGAAGAACAGTCTTTTTTTTTTTTAAGATTTTATTTATTTATTTGAGAGAGAGCACATGAGAGGGGGGAGGGTCAGAGGGAGAAGCAGACTCCCCGCTGAGCAGGGAGCCTGATGCGGGACTCGATCCCGGGACTCCAGGATCATGACCCGAGCTGAAGGCAGTCGCTCAACCAACTGAGCCATCCAGGCGCCCAAGAACAGTCTTGATTAGTACTTAAAACATGTTGTCCCAGTCTCACATGGTCAACACATTTTTGCTCCTGTTCAGATTTTGAAAAGTGCTACCCTTATTCTGTATCTGCAATCTGCTTGTTCTAGGTCAAAAATAACAAAAGAAGGTTTAATTTTACTCTACCTTACCGCTAATCAGTGTTTCTTTGAAATATGCTTCAGAGGGAATAGAGAACAACAGTACTAAGAAAAATGGCTCAGGGCACAAATTCTTCCTTCTATGATTTATCACTAACTACTTAAAAATAATGCACGGGTGCTGCTAATATTTTAAAGACTTCTCCCATCTTTATTTTATATTTAGCTAAATTAACCCTTCTTTTCATATGTGATAAGACAATGCTGTAGTAGGAGTTGTTTTAAAAGTTAACTAAGTGAACTCTGTTTAATAATATATTTTTCAACTTTAATAAGTAATTAACCTGATTCAAATTTCATCATTTTAATCAGAGAGCTAGACTTGGTATTGGAGCCCTAAATCTAGAAAACCCTGAAGACTTTTGTGGAAGAGTTCCAAGGGGACTGTCATTGCCCCTCACCTCTCTTTACAGCTTTTTGGGCCAGTACAGAGAGGAGAGTGTCCTTGGCAGTATCTTATCCTTTCCCTGTTTTATGTGGAATTTGTAGCAATTTAACCAAAAGACTGAGAATCCCTGGATTGAATGTTTTCTAAAATCTGTTTTCTGCCTTTTTATAATAATTAATCATCCTAACTAAAAAATAATAGAGCAATATTACATATTATGTAGGGCATAATATCCCCTATACTCTTCTTTTAAAACATATTACTCCTAAGGGGTGCCTGGGTGTTGCAGTCAGGTAAGCATCCGACTCTTGATTTCAGCTCAGGTTGTGATCTTGGGGTTGTGGGATCAAGACCCACGTCAGGCTCCGTGCAAGGATGGGGTCTGCTTGGGATTCTCTCTCCCTCTTTCTCTGCCCCTTTTGCCCCGTGCTCTCTCTCAAATAAATAAATCTTTAAAAAAATATATATATATACACTCCTAAAAGAAAGCTTCATAAAGATAACAATCATTGAAGGTGACTGCTATTTCACCCCTCTACAAGTTAAAATTTAATAGAAATGTATGCTAAAAACAGCTTTATTTAGAACAGAAATGTTCATCTAACATCAAAGTGTTTTAAATCCTATAAAATTATTAAGCACTTCTTGGCTTATAAATGATTAAAGATTTTTTTAAAATATAGGAATGTATAAGTTTATAGTATTCAATTATATAAAGCCTTTAAGGAAATATCTGAAAAAGATTAACCAAACTGAGTTACAAATACTTACTTGTAAATGGGTAATAACTCATGTCTTTTGATGGCACTGTCTGATTTTGTATCACTGTCATACAACCTTTGCACATGTCTTCCAGTTCGAAGTGGAGGGCCTAACTTGTCCATCTTACTATTAAAATATATAAAGGTGTACCCATAAGGAGATTGCTACTGTTTGTTTCTTTATATTTAAAAAAAAATTTTTAAACATTATTCTGGTTCATCAAAAATCTACCCCCCAAGCTCTTAATTATTGGACTGCCAGGGTAAGGGCTGTGAAAAAGAATCCTAATCCTCAGATAGTTCAGACAATGTCCACTATTAGATATGAAAATTCTGACGATGCAGGCACCTGCCAGTTGTGATGAACATCCAAACAAATGCCACATTTATACACAGCAGGGCAACGGAATTAACAAAGAAACTTAAGAAGGACAACACTGTTTAAAATAAAATTTGTGAAGCTAGAAGTGAACTTAAAGTTATTACCCTGGTAAGTAAGACTGATCTGATGTTTCTTCTCATTGAGTTCACAAATAATCTAATTTTTCTCCTTCCCTGATTTCATAGTACCTTTCTCTTTTTTCTTATTATTTTATGATCTCCCCTGCATTTAAAAATTCCAAATATAAAGCAAGGAATCAAATAAATGATATTTATATCTTTAATTCTGACTTTCTAACAAAGAATGACTATTTATGAAATTTATACAGAGAAATATAAAGCATGATGGATAAAGAAGATGTGGTACAGGGGCACCTGGGTGGCTCAGTCGTTAAGCATCTGCCTTCGGCTCAGGTCATGATCCCAGGGTCCTGGGATCGAGCCCTGTATTGGGCTCCCTGCTCTGCGGGAGGCCTGCTTCTCCCTCTCCCACTCCCCCTGCTTGTGTTCCCTCTCTGGCTGTCTCTCTCTGTCAAATAAATTAAAAAAAAAAAAAAGAAGATGTGGTATATATATATACAATGGAATATTATGCAGCCATCAAAAGGAATGAAATCTTGCCATTTGCAACGATGTGGACAGAACTGGAGAGTGTTATGCTGAGCGAAATTAAGTCAATCAGAGAAAGACATGTATCATACGACCTCACTGATACGAGGAATTCTTAATCTCAGGAAACAAACTGAGGGTTGCTGGAGTGGTGGGGGGTGGGAGGAATGGGGTGGCTGGGTGATAGACATTGGGGAGGGTATGTGCTATGGTGAGCGCTGTGAATTGTGCAAGACTGTTGAATCACAAATCTGTACCTCTGAAATAAATAATACATTATATGTTAAAAAAAGAAAAAAAAAAAAAGAAGATAGCAGGAGGGGAAGAATGAAGGGGGGGGAAATTGGAGGGGGAGACGAACCATGAGAGACGATGGACTCTGAAAAACAAACTGAGGGTTCTAGAGGGGAGGGGGATGGGAGGATGGGTTAGCCTGGTGATGGGTATTAAAGAGGGCACGTTCTGCATGGAGCACTGGATGTTATATGCAAATAATGAATCATGGAACACTACATCAAAAACTAATGATGTAATGTATGGTGATTAACATAATAAAAAAAATATAAAGCATGATGTATGGAAAAAAACAGGGATGGCAATCTGAAAAATCACATGCAGAAATGTTAAGTGGCCATGCCATCTGAAGTTTTCTTTAAAAAAAAAAAACAAAAAAAAACAAAAACAAAAAAGTATAAAGGAGCTCCATCTGGAGGAAAACAGGAAAAACTGCAGGTCTGTAGAGATGTCATTGTTTTACATTAACAAAATAATTGAATCCTATATACTATTAACAACCAATATTCATTCACTGTAGGGAGCAGTGAAAATTAAATTAGGAGGGTAGGAGAACTATTTTAAATGACTAGTGAATAACATATCACTGCTCATTAACTTAAAAAGGATACTCTTTTTAAAGGATGCTTGTTTGCTCCAATGCATTCTTCCACTAATTCATTAACTCTACAAACCCTGAGCACCTACTATGTATCAGGTACTCTGCTACATTCTGCTGATATCGGATATCATGGTAAATGAAACAGACCTGATGCTTGTTCTTATGGAATTCAGTGTCTAAAAAGAAGCTGTTCATTGCTCTAGATTATAAGGGTCACTACAGAGGGACACATTTTATTCATTTTTATGTTCTTTCAGTATCCAATACATATAGGTATTTTATTACAAAAGTTGTTACTAATACTTTGCAGATGGTGGTACTTGCATTAGATGTTTACATCACATTATTTAAAACATTTTAAAGTCTTTAAAAATTGCCTTCAGGGGCGCCTGGGTGGCTCAGTTGGTTAAGCAACTGCCTTCGGCTCAGATCATGATCCTGGAGTCCCGGGATCAAGTCCCGCATCGGGCTCCCTGCTCAGCAGGGAGTCTGCTTCTCCCTCTGACCCTCCCCCATCTCATGCTCTCCTATCTCATTCTCTCTCTCAAATAAATAAATAAAATCTTAAAAAAAAAATGTCTTCATTAGGATGTGGTGTATAGACACACACACACACACATGCACACACACACACAGGAATATTACATAGCCATAAAAAGGATGAGATTGTGCCATTTGGGACAACATGGACCTAGAGGGTATTATGCTAAATGAAGTAAGTCAGACTAAGAAAGACAAATACCGTATCATATGTGGATTCTAAAAAAACAAATGAATACACAAAGAACAGAATCAAACCTATAAATACACTGGGTCTAAAATCTCAGGAAACAAACTGAGGGTTGCTGGAGTGGTGGGGGGTGGGAGGAATGGGGTGGCTGGGTGATAGACACTGGGGAGGGCATGTGCTATGGTGAGCGCTGTGAATTGTGCAAGACTGTTGAATCACAGATCTGCACCTCTGAAACAAATAATACATTATATGTTAAAAAAAAAAAAAAAAGAAGAAGATAGCAGGAGGGGAAGAATGAAGGGGGGGAAATCGGAGGGGGAGATGAACCATGAGAGACGATGGACTCTGAAAAACAAACTGAGGGTTCTAGAGGGGAGGGGGATGGGAGGATGGGTTAGCCTGGTGAGGGGTATTAAAGAGGGCACGTTCTGCATGGAGCACTGGGTGTTATACGCAAATAATGAATCAGGGAACACTGCATCAAAAACTAATGATGTAATGTATGGTGATTAACATAACAATAAAAATTAAAAAAAAAAACCCTATAAATACAGAAAAGGAACTGATGGTTGCCAGAGGGGATAGAGGTGGGGAAAAGGGCAAATGTGTGAAGGGAACTGGGCTCCCAGTTAAGGAATGAATAAGTCATGGGAATAAAAGGCACAGTGTCAGGAATATAGTCACCGGTACTGTAACAGTGTTGCATAGTGACAGATGGTAGCTACACCTGCAGTGAGCATAGTAAACATATTGAGAAGCTGAATCGCTATGATGTACACCTGAAACTAATGTAACATTCTGTGTCAACTATACTCAAAAAACTTTTTAAAAAAATGCCTTCATTAAGTACATGTATTTTATATAATTTCAAAAATATTTGAGATTAAAACTTGATGGGTTTTTATTTATAAAAGATTACTAGAAATTTTACCTATTGATTAAAAGTCAGTAAAAATTTAGTAAAAATCAGATTTTTCTTTGAATTGCTTAACAATTATCAAAACATTATTGTTCCAAACAATGGTTATCTTACAGGTGGCTTTGGAATAAGGAATAAAAATCGTATTTTCTTTTTCAGAAGTGACTGAAAATAAGATTTAGAAAATTTTAAACTATATTTTTAAAACACTTCTCTAATATGGTAAGAACTTCTCAAATCTTACATATGACACAACAAAAGTCAATTTGAGAAAGGAGATGTGTAAAATCTAATAAAAATCTAAAAATAATTATCTAATGCAAGTATTACATATTTTCTATATATGAGAGAATTAACCAGTATTTTCAAATTTTGAAAACCTAATTGAATGGCAGGTTCTAAAGATGATGTGTTTTGTTGTCCAAATAGCTGTGTTATAAAATTCAACTCAAATGATCTATCTACCTATGTATATGCATATGTGATACACATATACACACACAATTCAAATGTTACGCTAAATGTCAGTAAATACTATTCTTAATTTCAAATCACTTAAACTTATGTTGTTGTATAATTTGCTACTGTTATGCTAGATTGTTATCAAGGTGTAACCAAACAAAAACAAAATTTATAAGTCTCAATAATGTAATCAAGATTATATATATATATTCTTTATAAAAATTTATATATATTTTTATAAGCTAAATATAATTTTTGTATAAATCTATTTATATATAAATTTTATATATTTGAATATATCTTTATATATAAAATCCAGATTACATATATATATGTATTTTTTTTTGCCATGCAATAATAATCTATATTGGGGTATTTATGTAAATTTAAAAATTATTAGTTTATGAAAGACCATTCAAATATTTAAATCTTTCCCTAAACTAACCCAGATCGTAAGATATGACAGACCATTTCCATGTACCGTCTTCATATTTATTTTAGTGAGCATGAACACTTCCTTGCTCACATTTCCTTTTCTATCAAATCCCTTCACTTCTGTTCCTCAATCTCCAACAGCACTAAAGATAAAGTCAAAGCAGCAACAAGATGAAGGATATCTGGAAAGAAATTAAAATCTTTGCAAAAGTAGTAAATGTGTTTTCAAAAGGAATGCAAAGGCTTCAATCCAACAGATTGATCCTTGAAGTTTCTTCTCTTTGCCTTTCTTGGTCTTGCAAATCATCAATAACTGACTTAACGAAGGAAATAAAATGAGTGTAAGAACCAGGAAGCCTGTGTCTATTTCATGTTTTGTTCAGACCTCAGGGGCAATGGATGTTTCAAGCTGTGAAAAAAAAAATCACCTTTACTGATGTTAACACTGAATTTATATACCTGCAGTTACTCTGAGAATTAATAAATTTGGGGAAAGTACAACAAAAAATCTACTCTGTTATGTATTTTTCCATTATTCACGAAGTCTGAGGAACATAATATCAACCTGGCAGTAACCCATTATGGAACTATCAATATCAATGTTTTTAGAGTGCTTCTATGCTATTTTTCTTTTAAAAGTTTCAATTTGGTAATGTTGATTATATACCCAAGGGCTGAAAGAAATTAGGCAGAAATAAATAAATCCATTCAGCAGTAGAAGTAGTCTTGCTACTGCTAAGGAAAACATAAGAGGTTATTTTGAAGTCAACTAAGCATACCCACATAGCATACATCTGGTGCAGACTAAGCAATCTGATACACATAATGTATGATTTCAATCCCATATGAAATTCAAGGATATGTCCTTAAATTGGCACCTAGATTTGGTCAGAGTCAACACCAAAGTATATTTTTAATTTCTTGCTGTTCTTTCAATTCAAGCACAGAAATGCACTGGATTAATAAAAGTTTAAAAAGCCTTTGGTTCCATGGACCACTAACCTATGAAGTTTCTAGATACTCCACATGACTTAAAAAAAAAATTTCTATCCTTGAATAAAGAATACTTAAAATCCATACCTTCAAATTATAAATGTCTAATTCCTATTTTAATTTACTCATTCTAAAATAGAGAACAGCAAACTTTTTCTGTGAAGGGCCAGACAGTAAGTATTTTAGGCTTTACGGGCTATGCTAGCTCTGTCACAAATACTCATCTGCACCATTGTAGCATGAAAGCAGCCATAGACAATACATAAATAATTGGATGTGGCCATGTTCCAATAAAACCAGTTGTTGGGCAGGATTTGGCTCTCAGAAGATCAACTGCTCTAAAATATAAAAATTTCATATATGAGAGGATGCCAGTATTTTAAAATTTTGAACAATTTCAGTGATTTCAGTGATGATTTTTAAGGGGTTTCCATATATTAAACAGTTATGATAGGTATCACTATATTATCTTGTAATCCCAAATATATATTACTGTTTGTCAAGCTAATACATTTCTATAGATGATAAACTGTAATTTGGACCAAGACTTTTAATTTAAACTGACTATCTGCAGTTGCATATAACTGCCCCAATATGAATAGTGTATCTAAAAAGGAATAATACTTTAGCAAGCTTTCAAAATATTTATAGCTGAGAATGTATTCACACTTTAAAAAATATTTGGCAATGGTATCAACCTACTGGAATAGGTTTTAATTTGAAATAAACTTTGACCTTGGGAAGGTCCTTGTTTATTGTTGATACTGAGAGTGAATTACTCAGGAGTATGTAAGCCACTCAGTCTTGTAAGACTGTAGCGAGTGAAGCAGGTATAATAAAAAGATGACTTCTAAAAGAATATTGGGAAAAAATTAACCAGTTCGTATTTTGTATTTTCGTAGACACCCATAGTTATGATGTTCTGAGGCATTCAAAGTTTTGAAATGTGTCGTACTTCTATTTTTGATCCTAAACTTATCAAATCCTATACATATGGCAAAACCAATAGCCTCAATCATTGGTATCCATTTAAGAAGCCACACTCTGCAGTTCTAGGTTGTTAGGCATTTCTAGATCAATAATAAATGATAGAGAAGTTCATAAAAATCTAAACAATGTTCCACATAAATTCAATTCACACACATCAAAAGATTGGCTTATGAGAAAAGCCTGTTTATAGTTACACAAAAATGTACTTAAAAACCAGATATTTGTTTCTTACTTTTGTCAATATAATTAAAGTATGAGAAACCAAATTCAATTTATTATGAAATGCTTCTTAAATTCATTGTTGCTCTAGTTTTGCTATATCTACTGTAGCCTATCTCCAAAGTAAATGTCTGTTTTTCATAGTAACTGAACAGAAGTAAATCTTTGATATTTGATATTTTAGCTACTAAAAATCATCAGCTAAAATATCCATTTTAGCTGGTAATTAACCACTAAGAAAACACAAATCTCAAGACATGACTGCGTAAATTCCCTGACACAATTCAAATGTGGTAATGTTTATTTAAAAGCTTTGTGCTTCAACATACTTCTAAAATTTCCTAGGATTAAAGATAGTCCTCTTATACACTGAGAACATTTTTCCATTGAGGGAATTTTTTGCTTTAAAAGAAATCTGATAAAACTGGTTGACCCATAGGTTATCTAGAAGTTAATTACCAAATAAATGAGAATTTTTCCAAGATAAATTTTTCTACAGCATGATTCCAACAGATCACTGGTATGCATGATTAAAGCTGGCCACAATAAAGATTATATACACAAGGCTTTAAACAATCCCAAGTTACTGAAATGACTCTATTTCACTAATCTCAGAAGGTGATCAAGTTCTTGAGCATTACAGCTAACCAGATATCTTAATTCCACCTTTACTCAATCCTGAAGCATGTATATCAATAGAAATAATGATTGCCATACAAACTTCAATTATCCCACCAGTACCAGGACCATGGTTCTATGATGTGCCAACAGGTTGACAAATGAGGGATTTGTTAATTCATTATTTGTTTTATTCATCAAAAATTTATTATGTGTCTATATGTCAGGCATTATACTATATTTTATAGTTATGTCTGTAAGCAAGGCAGACACACAGAGCTTACAATCCAGCAAAGGAAAAAAAAAACAATATAATCAATAAATAACAAGTCAATATACTCAATAATTCTTAAAAAAAAAAAACAACTCTGCCATTAAAAGCCATAAATGGTTCTATTTAATATAGTAATATAGTAATGTTCTGGTTAATATGGTAATATATTGGCCACAGGCAAACACCAAGGCTCTTTAGAGTAGTTGGAAACATTCTTCTAACACATAGGGACTATATATAAAATGTACAATTGGGATTTACACAGTTATGTTTGACAGTTTAATACGATGCGAGACAACCAGAAATTTTAAATCTTCATGGCATTGTGAGCAGTGCATAATTTATAAAATTACTGTGCTCAAAGTCGTTGCTTGTTAGTAAAAACAAATTTTCTCCTAGGGATTATATAAATGTTGGTCAGATTGTGTTAGATCAGGTGCCAAGGTCTTAGCAGAGTCACAGAATGTTGTGAGTGAGACAAAGGAGATATGCACACAGTCATATGGCTGTTCATTAGCGAAGTAGGATCTAGAAGCCTAATTTTCTAATTCAAAGTCCGTGCCACTTTTCATTACACCAGCCAGCTTAACACGCCCTATTAAGAGTACAGGGGAAGATGTGCTGTGAATTGTGTGAGACTGCTGAATCACAGATCTGTACCTCTGAAACAAATGATACATTATATGTTAAAAAAAGAAGAAGAAGAAGATAGTAGGAGGGGAAGAATGAAGGGGGGGAAATCGGAAATCGGGAAATCAGACGAACCATGAGAGACTATGGACTCTGAAAAACAAACTGAGGGTTCTAGAGGGGAGGTGGGTGGGAGGATGGGTTAGCCTGATGATGGGTATTAAAGAGGGCACGTTCTGCATGGAGCACTGGGTGTTATACGCAAACAATACATCATGGAACACTACATCAAAAACTAATGATGTAATGTATGGTGATTAACATAATAAAAAAAAAGTACAGGGGAAGGTATGAGTACAACTTAATATGGTCACCTGATAAAATTACCAGTATGAGAGGAAAGGCACTAAAAAATATCAGCATTTAATTCACAATCAACTGTAAATGAAACTGTAACATAACATGGAAGGCAATTCTGTGATATGGTAAAGAGGATTTGTAAAAGTTAAAATACATATTGCCGTCTACACTTTAATTAAAAATGATGAGTCAACTCAGTAGAGAAACTAAAAAAATAAAACAAAATCAGTTTTTTACCACTGATGAGAACATTTTACTTTTCAACCACCTGTTTACTGATAATCTGTCTCTTTCTTAAGAATAGCCTGTGTCTTCCTTTTGGAAGCACAACAAAAAGAAAAAACATTTAACTAATCAGATCTTGTTAGTTGATCTTTTTCTTTTTCTACGATGATAATTACATTAAACTCCTTTTAGATTTTGTACTTTCTGTGTAGTCCAAATTAGGAAACAAAAGATAGTTGCTCTCACCTCATATAGAACCCTATGTATATTTCCTACATTAAAAAAGTGATAACCCATATCTGAAAATAATGTGTGCTGTATTTCCTAAATCAACTTTATCAGTATCTGTAAAGTATACACATAAGCCCTCATTCTATGTGTATACTTTGTGTACACATGTGTATACCATGTGTATTACATGGTAACCCTTAATTTTCTGATTTACCAAAATGGAAGAGAAAGGGAGTTTTACTGAGATAGGAGAATTTTTTAAAATCTCTAGTATATTACCAACAATTTTTCCCACAATTAAAATAACTGTGCAAAGCTTAATTATGCTACTTTCTTAAAAGCCATGTATATAAAACTGTAGAAAGATTAAAAAGTATTTTTAAAATATTAAATAAGTGGAAAATAATCATCCACTGTTAATATTTCAGCATATTTTGTCTTTTTTGTCTACACACATTTTTATAGTTTCTATCTCAGTATACATGGGAGTTAATACCCTACATTCTTCTCTTGTTATAGTAGAATCATCCCTTTAAAAATGTATATACATTTTATGGTTGCCTAACATCCCTGTATAGACTGTTATAGTTTGCTATTCAAACAAAGCTAGAAATTTAGGTGATTTTATTTTTTTTACATTGTCATAAAACCATGTGAAAGAAACCAATGTTTAGAGCCAAATAGACTCTAATTTGTATCCTGCTTCCAACTCTTAATAGCTGTGCGGCTTTGAGCAAATTACTTTGGTTCTCAGATCCACTCATCCTATGGTGGTGGGGTGGTTTTAATAAAAATATATGAAAAATGTTTAGCACAGTGCCTGATACATAAGGTTTCATAAATAATGGTTATTACAAAAATCTTCTGTATTTCAAATGATTTCCTTAGACTAGATTTCAAGAAGTAAAATTATTCAAAGAGTATGAATGTTTTTTGGGCTCTTGATACATGCCACTAGATTTTTTTCCAAAATGGTTATCATTTTTTTTTATTCTTATTATGTTAGTCATCATACAGTACATCATTAGTTTGTCGTGTAGTGTTCCATGATTCATTGTTTGCATATGCAAACAAAATGGTTATTCTTTTTTTTT